TAAGATCTGTGGACTTCCAACCCCGTCAACTTTAAGACCTGTGGACATCATGTCCAACCATATCCAACCATATCAATGTTAAGATTTGTGGACTTCCAACCACGTCAACTTTAAGACCTGTGGACATCATGTCCAACCATATCCAACCATGTCAATGTAAAGATCTGTGGACTTCCAACCCCGTCAACTTTAAGACCTGTGGACATCAAGTCCAACCATATCCAACGATGTCAACTTTAAGACCTGTGGACCTGACTCCAAGAATTCCCCAGCCAGCCATGAAGTCTTGAAGTTGCCAAAGTTGACCACTCCAATATATATGTACCAAATTCTTTCCTTGCTTGAATCCTGTTCTGTTCACATGTGTGATTTGAGATCTGCAGATAAATATTATGAAGAAAACTTACACTATCAAAAATGTTATTATTCTGCTACGGGGATGGCCGGAAGAAATATTATTACTAATTCAAAAAGGTCTAATCTTCTGCAACAGATTGTTGGTATGCAACATGTGTCAACATTTGAACTTGGTTTTTTTCCCCCCTGACCCAAAGATAAGGAAGAGTACTTTAAAAAAGAAAACAGGTTGTAGTTTTCGTACTTGCTTTGTTTGCAATTTTTTTTTTCAAATATTTTTCTCCCTGTTAATCTGTTTTCATTTTTAAAAAAAAATCTATAATTTCAGTGAGAGACGGAATTGGAACAATTAAATGAAAGGATTGATGCCTGATCCTGCTCTAGGCAGTTTGGAAAAGCCAATCCATTGTATCAATGCTACTAACATTTCAAAAGGGTTGCGTAAGAGTTGTTTAACCTTGCCCCAAATTGCTTCTTAATCATGCCCGAAGGAAGTGGTTATACATTGTGGAATGAAGCTAAACTTCGGTTTTTGCTTTGCCTTTTGCAAGTGGAAAGTTTGGGGAGGTTTTTGTCATTTCTTCCGGACTTGATTTGTGCAAAGCAAAAATGAGAGGGGGTAGGAGAGAGGGAGAGGGGGGGGAGAAAGGGAGGGAGGGAGAGACAGAGACAGAGAGAATATATGTGTTCCTTAAGAGCCTCAATTGGTTCAGATAGCTGAATTCTGTTTACCTAGCATTTCACTGACCAGTCAACCCAACGTTTACTGCTGCTCTGTAATATCATAAAAAAAGTTCTGAATATCAATCAATCAGAATAGAGCTTGATCTTATTCATCTACTATAATTTGTTCCCTTTGGGTTACAAGTCATCCACTGTGAAAAGTTGACAACCTTCTCCAAACAGAGGTTCTTCTTTTCTCCTCACCTGTCTTTGACAGCCTTCCACAATGATCAGTTTTTGCTGGGGCGAAGTCCGGGCGAAGACAATCTCTGAATGGTGGATTAGGATGTCGTCCAATTGTTCTGAACTCATATCCTTCAGCTCCATGCCATTAATCACGGCTGCTTTGGCTTCTCTGCAAAACCAGACATAAAGGTAAAGGATTTACTGGTCCGCATTAGTATGGTAAACCGCAATGTGGCTTATTTAGTTCTGTCTTGGAATACTATGTAAGTATATCAACCATCACAGTTGACAAACCATGGCCTTGTGTTATTTGTAAGTCATTTATTTATTTCATTTCATTTATTAAATTTATAGGCCGCCCAATCCTGGAGGACTCTGGGCAGCTTACAACGAAAGAAGAAAAAAAGAAATAAGTAAAAAAAATAGTTTAAAATTCACAACGCACATACATTCTAATTGGGGCTGGACCTTAACACTAAGGTCAACAGCCCCAGGCCTGCCGGAACAGCCAGGTTTTAACAACTTTCCTGAAGGCCATGAGAGTGGGTAAGGTCCGGACCTCTGCGGGT